ATATAATATTATTATTTAATATGAAATAATAATTTTAATATAATATAGAAGAAAATTTTCTGATCTTATATTAATTTAATTAATAATATATTAATTAATGAAAAATGTTTACATTATATTTATCAAGTTATTAGCATAAAAGAGATAATACAGAAAAATGGCAATTAATTGGTTCTACTGTTATAATCTTTTAAATTAATAATAAATTAATCAATATTAATTTTCAACATTGTATATAGATCGTAGTGAACGCGTTGATGTATGCAATACCTAGTATATTCAACGTGCTCCTCGTCTGTCTCGTGTTCTGGCTTATTTTTTCGATTATGGGTGTCCAATTTTTTGGTGGTAAATTCTTCAAATGTCTTGACGAGTACGGTGAATTATTGGACATAACGGTAAGTCATTAATAGAATTATTTCTTGTCAAATATAAAACATACAATTATTACACATTAAATAGAAAAATCCATTTTTTCTTTTTCTTTTTAAATAAAAAATTTCTAATTAAAAAACAATAAAAAAAAAAAGAAGCAATATCTGATCTCTTTAAAAGCCTAACTTTATCTTCCAATACTTTAAATATCTAATTTAAATGAAAAATGTTACATTTTTTTATTTTTAAAGAATTATTAATATTTGTATATTTTATAAACGTTTCAAATTTGTTTCTTTTTATTTTTTTTTTTTAGATAATAAATACCAAGGACGATTGCCTAAATCAAAATTATTCATGGGAGAACAGTAAGATAACATTCGATCACGTTGGAATCGCATACTTGGCATTATTTCAAGTGGCCACATTCGAAGGTTGGATGGAAGTAATGGAAGATGCTGTTGATGCCAGGGGTGTAGATTTACAACCCCAAAGGGAAGCTAATCTTTGGGCTTACCTTTATTTCGTAATATTCATCGTTTGTGGTTCCTTCTTTACATTGAATCTATTCATCGGAGTGATCATAGATAACTTTAACATGTTAAAAAAGAAGGTAAGCTCGTGTTTTATTATTTTTCATCTATATTTTTCATAAATTTTTTTCTTATTCAAAGTGCCACATTTCCATAGACTTACAAGTTCTCTAATTAATATGTGAAACGTGTTAAATAATGATTATTCACTTCTTCTATACGCATAAACATTTTCTAAATGAAATATACAAATATATAATATAAATTGTGTATATTAGGCCGGGGAAAATGTTTCTTCGTGTTTTAATGCAAAAAAAACGAAACAAATTTTTGTCCCTATTTTTTTCCATCCAATTTTTTCCAAATGATTTCAAATTGTTCGATGTTTAATTCCTTACCGATATTATGATTGTTAACGTACCGGTTATGTTTAATTTTTGATCCACAATTTCATCGATCGGTTGATCAAACCGTGATGCATCTTCGGCATCCAAATTTTCTAATTAAAACGTTCAAATCAGTTTTGTATCATCAAATTTCTTCTCTATACTCTCATTTTCATTTTCGAGACTTAATAAATTATTGACCGAACAAACAAACATTGCAACTGTTTTTTTTTTTTAATTATTCTAGGACAGTGGTTTTTAAACTGTGTTCCACAGAATTCTGAGAGTTCCAAATGTTCCAGGAATTGTTGTTTAGATGATATATTACATTGTATTAATATCATTTGTCGTGTTACGAGGAAGGGTTCCATGAAATATTTCTACACTCACAATAGTTTCGTGAATGGAAAAAGTTTGAAAAATACTATTTATGATATGTCAAGTTTCGCGAGTATTTTCGGATACGATTAATATTAGCATAGTTATAGCTAATAGTTATGCAAAAAAAGTCATTTATCTGAGAAAACAAAAAAAAATACGAAGAAACTCTTTACCCAATCGAATATATTTATGTTTATAGTTAATCGTATATTAGCAATACGACACTAATGTTAAAAACGAATTTTATTTAATTTCAATGAATCAAGTAACCGTATTATCTCTTTTATTTGTTCTTCTTCCATTTCAGTACGAAGGTGGCGTGCTAGAAATGTTTTTGACCGAGAGTCAAAAACACTACTACACTGCCATGAAAAAGCTCGGCCGTAAAAAGCCGCAAAAAGTAATAAAACGTCCGATCAACCAATTCCTCGCAATGTTCTACGACCTGTCCAATTCCCGAAGGTAATTATGTGTCAGAGTTTTTCTTTTCTGTTATTTATATGTATATATATATTTAAACATTTATTATTTTATTTGAAAAATTATTTCATTATTCTTTTTTTTTTTTTTAGCAAACATCCTTTACCCGATCGCACGGTTTCGATAATTATCAACGCGAATTCTTGTTTAATTTTCAAATAATATATTTCATTGGTTAACAAATTATACCGCAATTTATTTTAATTTAAATTTAAATATTTAACATTGGTATTTTTTCTCTTCAATATCCTTAATATTTTATGTTTCATAAATAACTTTTTGCGTATTTGCAAAAATTTTTATATTATTTCACATTTAAATAAATTTATATATAAATTTATATATAAATTTATATTGTTTCTATTAAAAATCTCAACATTATTGATTTTCTAATTGTAATAATAATTAAATAACTAAAAGCGTGCGATCGAGTTGATATTTTTCTACATACTGTGATGATATTGCTTTCGTTGTTTATTGTACACACTCGTTGCACACTCACACACCCACGCATATTTTGGAGCTCGTTTAGCGGAACATACGAAGGACGCTATGCGAGCCGAAGATTATTGTCGTTCGTCAGACGAATGATCAAAGTTCTTCGGCCAACTTCACTCAAATTTTCGACTCGCAATTCATCACTTCTATATTTCGCTTGACAAGATTCAATATAAACACATTTAAAAAAAAAATAATTAAAATAATTCATCAAAACTCTTAAAAAGGATGAACAGTTGCACCGCTTATCGATAAAGAAGATGGTGGTGACTTTTTCAGGATAATCTATGGGAACGCTTAGCTTTCTTTCATTTTATATTTGATTTGAGTTATCATTTAATTTTTAAGGTCACTCCAAAAAAGAGTGGTAACACATTCCAACTGTTTATACACGTGTAACGCTACTAAACGCTGCTCTGGTTGGTTGGTTGGTTAGTTGGCTGGGTTGTTGGCTGGTTGGTTGGTTGGTTGGTTGGCTGGTTGGTTGGCTGGCTGGCTAATTTTTAAAAGCACGTACAGTGTCAAAACTAAACAAGAGATTCATTTTGTTTCAATAAAACTTATATCATATTTACAGATTCGAAATAGCGATCTTCGTTTTGATATTTCTCAACATGCTGACGATGGGAATCGAACATTACGATCAACCACATCCAATATTTTTCGTCCTTGAAGTATCTAACGCATTCTTTACGACGGTATTTGGTTTGGAAGCAATAGTGAAGATAATTGGATTGCGTTATCATTATTTCACCGTACCATGGAACCTATTCGATTTTTTACTCGTCTTAGCATCGATATTGGGAATACTTATGGAAGATATTATGATGGACTTTCCCGTGTCCCCGACGCTCTTGCGGGTGGTGAGGGTGTTCAGAATTGGTAGGATCTTAAGGCTCATTAAAGCTGCTAAGGGTATTCGTAAACTTTTATTTGCATTGGTGGTCAGTCTTCCGGCATTATTCAACATCGGAGCATTGCTTGCTTTGATTACCTTCATTTACGCCATTATTGGTATGTCAGTGTTTGGACATGTCAGGAAACAAGGAGCTTTGGATGACATGGTGAGAAAACAATAATTTTCATTAACATTTTATATCCAATTAATAATTGAATATAAATATATAAATGATATTGTTTACAGGTAAACTTTGAAACGTTCGGTCGTAGCATGCAATTACTTTTTCGTCTGATGACTTCGGCTGGCTGGAATGATGTATTAGAATCACTTATGGTACAAGCACCTGATTGCGATCCGACCCCGACCAGTAGGAAAATGAACGGCGACTGCGGATATCCTTTATTGGCAATTACCTACTTCACTTCCTTTATCATCATCAGTTATATGATAGTTATCAACATGTACATCGCTATTATTTTGGAAAACTTCAATCAGGCTCATCAGGAAGAAGAAATTGGTATCGTCGAGGATGACCTAGAAATGTTTTATATTCGTTGGTCAAAGTATGTCAAACTATTGTTTTATTTATTCTTGTTTTTTTATTTTTTAAATCTCATTGATCTAATGATGTTAAATTATTTAATAATTAAACAATGAAATATAATTGTTTTTCTTTGTTACAGATATGATCCACATGCAACCCAATTTATCAGTTTCTCGCAGCTAAGTGATTTCATAGCGAGCCTAGACCCACCTCTGGGAATATCAAAGCCCAATGTCGTAGCGTTGGTAAGCTTTAATCTTCCCATCGCGAAGGGTAACAAGATCCATTGTCTGGACATCCTGCACGCACTTGTCAAGCACGTTCTTGGACACGTTGAAGAATCCGATGATTTTCGTAAGCTTCAAGAACAAATGGACGTTAAGTTCAAGAAGCAATTCCCAACGAGAAAGGAATTGGAAATAGTGTCTTCCACCAGAATTTGGAAACGTCAGGATAAAGCTGCCAGGCTCATTCAACGTACGATTAGAGAATTTATTGCGTAAGTTATTTTATATTTTATTTTTTATTTAATTATATTGTATATATTCTCTCTATCTAAGTCAGTTTTCTGAGCGGATATTCGACGAACAAAAAATAAGAATTCCCATAATGTTGAGATAGATTTTTTGGTGGGAAATTCGCAAAACAAAAGTTTTGTTTGAGTGTTCAAATCTAACGAAGTTTAGATGTTTAGTTTTTCGAATATTACAAGAATCAAAATTAAGTTCTAGTTCTTTTTAATGTCCAATTTCCCTACTATACATATTTATTAATAATTTTATTTTTGAACGAGAGAAATAACTAATTAGAAAAATAATTATAACACAGTAAAAAACGTGTTCGCTTCTTGACTACTTCTGACTGCTTTTTTAGGTCTTTTGTACCTTTATTCGGTTTTTGTCTATCACTATTCGACTGTTTACATTATTGGGCCTCTTTAAATCCAAACTCACACACTCATTATCCCACCTATACTTAAGATTTATTTATCTTCTCACACTACACATCATATTTACGCGTTATGCATTAATTGGATGAAATTAATAAAAATGAATAATTTGATAAAATTAGGATGAAGAAGGAAAGGGAAAGGATTGCGCACGAGGTGGATTCACAGACGCAAACATCGAGTCCTGGTGGTGTGGGGAGTGATGGTAGGGGCGGGGGTGGTTGGGGTGGAAAGCTGTCGGCCCTGCTGCACGTACACCGAGGTAGCCGGGCCAGTAGCCGCAAGTCCTCCAGGGCCAGCGACGCCAGCGATCTCAGTGAGCTCGGGACAGCATCAGCGTGGCTATTTCCAAATCTACCCCTGCTGTTGCTCTCCGGCGCCACGGGAACCCACGAGGACCTGCAACCCCCCGCCCTTACCGTGTCCCGTCCCTCACCAACCACGGAACAACCATCGGCCACCTCAAGTTCTGGATCTGATTCTCACATTACTGTTAGGTTCGTATTTTTTTTTCTATACTATTTTTATTTTTATTTTTATTATTATATTTTCTTTTTTTTTTTTCTCTCTTGTGTGTGTATTATCTTTCACTCTCTTATCTTCTTGCATTACTCATTTTTCGTTCATTTATATGAACGAAGAAGAAAACAATAAGAAAACTATAATTGTCTCTTTTCATTGTGTCATTTCACGAAGAAAATGAAGGAGAAACAAAAAAAAATAAAGCATATTAAAAATTATTGTTAGATTTAATTAAAAAAAACCAAACAAAAAAAAGTTATAGACACCTAGCCAGTGTGTGTGTGTGTTTATATCGTTTATGGATTCACACGTAAGTATAGAATCCAATTTAGACATTTTGATTTCATTCAAAGATGATTTATTATTCATTTATTAATAACTCTGTTCTATATTATATTGAATGACGTTTTTATTTTTCCTATATCTTTTTTTTCTATATATATATATTTTTTTTTTTATAAAGCAATGGTAGTATCAGCCTGAGGAGTTCGATGTAGTTTTATTTTGTTTCTTTTATTGTTGCGTTGCGTTACTGTTGGTGATGATCGTAGGTATTGTCGTCGTAAAGCGAATAGAACAATTTTTGTCTTTACAAAATAAAAAAAGAATATAACAAGAAGAATTTTAAATCAAAATTATACATTAATCTAATCTTTTTCATTTCAAAACTCCTCAGGCAAAGAAACGAGCAAAGAAACGAGGTAAAATTGTTGAAAATTCTCGTAGATATTCATTTAAATTTGATCACATATATATTTAAATATATCGTTGATAACATTCGTTTACATAGATTTAAAAGTTGATTATTTTAATTCATATTTGTTTGTCCTTACTTTTTTTTTTTTTTCTTTTATAGAAATATTCAGCCCTGTAAAAATACGCTTGGCAATTTGAAACAAGAAAAGTTGGCGTTGCGAGAGAATATTTTTCTTTTCCTTTCTTCATTTTTTTTTTTTTTTTATATTCTTAGCATTTTATTAGATGTGCATTAAATCATTATCGAATTATTACGAAATATATACATATTTTTTTCTTTTTTTAATTTTAAACAAAATGTTGTTTATGCTAGGCATTCGTTAAGACGATGACGTCGAACTTAGATGCACGATGTTTTAACAGCACGTTCGCGGACAGTTATTCGATTAATTTCTTTGTACAAATTGTTTACAAGATGAGCCCAAAGGTTTCTCAATTAAATTTAAATGTTAAAGTAACTTTTTTTTCTCTTTTAAATTTATTATGTTACTTTTTGATTAGAGATCGTAAAATTGTAAGCTTTGCAAGTGCTTGAGTTTAAAACGTTTGGCTTAGAAAATTTTGAGAAATATTAATTGATTTAAAAAAAAAATATATTTAATAACTTTTGGCCCACCTTGTATAATCAAGCAATATATTTCGTGCATTAAAAATCGATTATAGCGTTATCATCGATGCTCATATTGAAAAACAAAAAGGAAATTGATTCTTCGATGATATTTTCCTATTTTTAACATTTTCTTTCATTTATTTGTATCTGTAAATATATTTACACATTTAGCATTAAAATTAGAAATATTGTAAAAAGTATTATTTGCGCAGTATCGCATAATATAGTTTAATATTAGAAAAATCATGGTCATTTTCTGGCTGTGCGATGTGTATTTGCAGGAAAACACCGCTTTTCAAAATGTCATTTCATTTCGTCATTAATTACAAAAACTAGAATATGATATTTATATATATTAATTTTGTCAACGAAAATATGTAATGCCGATTTGATATTACATTATTAAAAATTTCATTATAATCCTAAATTAATTACAAATTATATATACGATATATGAAAATAATAATATCATAGAAGAATTATCAACAACAATATCGAATCGACGTTACCTAATTTGTATTGAACAAAAAACAAAAAAAAAGAATAAAAAGTAGTAGCTATTTGCACACAAAAATTATAAGAGTAGATATTCGTTGCAATCTCTCTTTTTTTTTTTTTTACTATCCAAAGTTACTAATTTATTTCCAAAGATACAAATCTAATAACGATTGAATACATAAAACAACACACGGCAAGAAAAAAAATCCCGAACAGAAAACACTCTTAACCCCCACTCCCCCCCCCCATCAAATGACAAAAAATATCACGTAGAAATGAAAATATATAAAAATATAAAAAAAAAATAATAAAACCTTGTGCACAGATCGCTCGGTGCGACGTTGGGCCGTCAGGACGCCGTGGAAACTTATCCAGACGAAGACGTCCTGAGTCCACCGAGTTCGAAACGAAGTTCACTGCGTACCAGCGGTACGACGTTGTCCCTGAACACTCTCCAACGCGACATTAAAGAGGCCTTCAATCGTCGTTGCAGTAGTCTTCGAAAACGTCCACTAGTACCAGTATTACAACCATCGCAATTACCCTTAACTATAGCAACAGGAACAGCACCTGCAATAACAACAACAACAACAACAACAACTGCAACTGGATCAACTGGGTTAGTAGGAGTAGCACCGACAACAGAACCAATATCACTTCCAATAGGTGACGGAAGTGACTCAGTCAGTATACTCGTAACAGAACCGAGTCCAGAAAATTCTGCACCACCATCTAGACCGCCATTGATCAGACAACAATCTGAAGCTACGGTTGTTCACGTACTCGTTCATAGAGAAAGCGAGGAATATCAAGAAACCCCCGACGATAGCTGATCCTAATTCGATTAGGGACTTTTTTTTCAATCAAAGATTTCAAATAACTCTATTTCATTTGTGAAGATAGAAGAGAAAAAAGAAAGAGAGACAGAGAGAGAGAGAGAGAAAGAGAAAGAGAATATCTGAGAAAATATAGAATTTCTGTAATTACATTTAACTCTAACAAAAGCCAATAAGAATTAAATTATTGAGAGAATTAGGTATACATTATTATACTTGAAAGGAAGAATTTAACACGATCTACGTTAATTCTTCTTATTCATCATCTTCTTCTTCTTCTTCTTATTCTTCTAATTCTTATTATTCTTATTCTTATTCTTATTCTAACCCTTATCGGACGTTAGTGTCACCTCTCCCCCATGACAATGGCTTTTTGCGAAATGAAGATAAAGAAAAATAAAATAAAATAATAAAAAAATATAAATCAAAATAAATCTCAATAATTTCTATAACAATAATGTTATTATATTACAATCCTAAAAAGTTTTTGCATATTTATCGAAATCAGCTATAACTTAATGAGAAACGCGTGAAAAAAAAATACTGACGACCGATAAGGGGCTAATATAATACGATTAGGGAAACAAATGAATCGATCGAATAATTAACAAAAAATAACATACGAACACACGTATACATATAGAAAAAAGAGAAAGAGCCGTTCTCTCTCGCGCATAGGTTTATATATAATATTCTTATTAAGTATTAAATATATTATTATTATCATCGATTAAGATCTCGCGAAAACGAAACTCTCGTTAAGAATTCGAATCTAGAGACTCTTTATATTTCAATTCTCTATAATTAGCATTTTTAGAAGGAGAATAATATTAATATATTAATAATAATAATAATAATAATAATAATAATAATAATATAAATAAAAAATGCCTCTTTTTTTGACGTATCTTTATGGTGAAACTCTCATTGCGATGGACCACCTATCGCAGTATTTTTCCCATAAATATACGAGAGTAGGTTGAAAAGTTTTGAGCTTCAATAAAAACCTTTTATTTTTGTTTAAATAAAAATGAGTTTGTCTGTGTGATTAATAAACAATTATTTCGATTTTACGATCAAAACCTTTCAATCAATCCACGTATTTATGTATAGAATTTTTTCTCTTTTTTTTTGTATAAATTGATATTTCTTATTTTTTCCTGGCATTGAAATCACCTGAGAATAAAGAAGATTGG